ATCGGCTCGCCCGACATCTGGGAAGATGAGAAGGCGGAGGACCTGCGGCGAGAGATGATCGAGCTGCGGCAGCAGCTGGACAAGGAGCGCTCGGTGCGGATGATGCTCGAGGAGCAGGTGAGGCGGCGCCCTCTGCTGGGCCTGGCGGGCGGCGCAGCGACGCGCGCGTGGGGCTGCCGCCCGCCTTCTTGCGTCCTGATGGCCCTTGGTGCAGCCGTATTTACTGGGCCAGGCCTAGGAGTGGGACGCGACCCAGCCAGTTCTCTTCTCTCCGGGGCCACCGTCTGCGTGGGAATGGGGCGAGATGAATGAGGATCTCGCAGTGTGGAAATGGGACTGGGATGCAGGCCGTGGTGGAGCCGTGGCATCAGATGGGGATGTTGAGCTGTTTCCCAGGGGGCACCCAACGGCTCCTCCATGAAAATGGGAGGCTGGTCGGGCACAGTGTCTCAAGCCTGTATTCCCAGCACTTTGGGGGGGGAGGTCGAGGCAAGAGGATTGCTGGAGCGCGGGGGTTTGAGACCAGCCTGGGCAACATGGCGAGACCGTGTCTCTACAATAAATCAAAAAGTAAACTAGGTGTGGTAGCGTGGGCCTGTAGTTCCAGCTACTTAGAAGACTGAGGCAGAGGGATCGCCTGGGCCCAGCAGGTCGAGACTGCGGTGGCCGTGAGTGTGGCCGTGAGCCTGGGCGACAGAGTGAGACTCCAATTAAAAAAAAAAAAAAGAAAAGAAAATGGGAGGTTAACCAGGCGGAGTCGGAGAGAAGGATGTACCGGGTGGAGGGAACAGCACAGACAAATGGCCTAGAAGCAGGAGGGAGGGAGTATGTCCCACCGGAGGCCATGGTGGGGAGGTGAGAAGACCTGGGGCTGGGGGGCTGTGGAAGAGCTCTGGTCTCCGCCCTGAGGTGGGGGGCTCATGTTAGGATTTTCGGCTGGCATGAATGGCCTGCTGTGTGGCTGATGGGGTGGAGTGTGCTCCTTGCTTGCCCTGAGCCCACGTTGCTCCCCCTACAGGTGCGCTCGCTGGAGGCCCACATGTACCCAGAAAAGCTCAAGGTGATCGCGCAGCAGGTCCAACTGCAGCAGCAACAGGAACAGGTGCGGCTGCTGCACCAGGAAAAGCTGGAGCGGGAACAGCAGCATCTGCGGACCCAGGTGAGCAGGAGGCACCCAGGAGGGGCCGTGGGATCCTGGAGGACTGGAAGTTTCTCCCGAGGCCACCATGTCTTTGGTATTCTTTTGGAGACAGGGTCTCCCTTTGTTGCCCAGGCTGGAATGCAGTGGCACAATTCTGACTCACTACCATCTTAACCTCCTGGGCTCAAGTGATTCTCCCACTTCAGCCTCCTCAGCAGCTGGGATGACAGGCACATGCCACCATGACTGGCTGATTTTTTTCTGAGTCAGAGTCTCACTCTGTCGCCCAGACTGGAGTGCAGTGGCACACTCACAGCCACCGCAGCCTCAATCTGCCAGGCTCAGGTGATCCTTCCACCTCAGCCTTCCAAGTAGCTGGAACTACAGGCACACGCCACTATACCCGGCTAGTTTTTTGATTTATTGTAGAGATGAGGTCTCGCCTGCCCAGGCGGGTCTCGAACCCACGGGCTCAGGCAGTCCACTCACCTCAGCCTCCCAAGGTGCGTGATTACAGGCTGAGCCACCGAGCCCGGCTTCAGGCAGTGCTCTTAACTCGGCCTCCCAAAGTGCTGGAATTATAAGCATGAGCTACCACACCCGGCTGATTTTTAAATTTTTTGTAGAGATGAAGTCTTAGTCTGTTGCCTAGGCCGATTTGGAACTCCTGGGTTCAAGTGATCCTCTTGTCTCAGTCTCCCAAAAGGGCTAGGATTACAGGTGTGAGCCACTGCACCTTGCTGTCTTTGTTTTTTAATTTAGGGGGTAGGGGATTATACATTGGCCGCCGCCTTCCTCCTTCTGCTGCTGTGAATACAGGAGGTCGGTGGGCCAGGAGAAACCTTGGGAGAAAGGCTGAGCATTTCTGTCTTGCAGCTCCTGCCTCCTCCAGCCCCCACCCACCACCCCACGGTGATCGTGCCAGCACCACCTCCTCCCTCCCACCACATCAACGTTGTCACCATGGGTCCCTCCTCAGTCATCAACTCTGTTTCCACATCCCGGCAAAATCTGGACACCATTGTGCAGGTACCTGGGCTCAGAGGGAGCAGCTCTCAGGGTTATGCTCTGGGAACAGGCTCTGTAGGGGAGACCAGAAAATGAGGAACAGAAGAGGAGGAAGGTGAGCCTTGAGTGGGAGGGCATAAAGGTCAGGAAGCCTGGATGGCTCCCCTTTTCTGTATCTGTGGGTGGTGAATTTGAGGGACAGAGAGCTGGGCAGGGACCCCCAGGCTGGTGGGACAGGTTGGCTGGGAAGACTGTGTTCCTTCCTTTGACATGGTGATTCCAGAGAGTATCCTTTGCTCCCAGAGTCCCCTGCTTGTACAGTTCCTGCATCCAGCTCTTGGGTTGGTCCAGAACATTCTCTCTCCTCTGTTTCCTAGGACTTCGGCTTGGGGTGGAGGGGACGGTGGCTGCTGAGTGCTCGTAACATCTTCTATAGAGAAGGAAGAAACTAGGCTATCAGCTCTGTGGGTCAAGCCTGAGGTTCCTGTTGCACTCAAGTCTTGTGCAAGTCTCCTTGGGGGACCCAACAACATCAGAAATAAATAAGTCAATAAATAATTAAACCAAAAAAGCCAAAAATGGGAAAAAAAATCCATCACCCCCCCCAGAGCTTTAGTTACACATAATCCCAGCAAACTGCCTAACACAATTAATAACAAAGGCCTTTAATAAGTTAATAGGCAAACTTTAAAATATATAAACTTATGAAAGATGCTTGTGATTTCTAAGTAGCACTGGAACTGTTGCCTTCCTGGAAGGGGTTTTTCAACTTAACATGGTTTTCCAAAGTTACATTTCTCCTGGTCTCTGGCGGGCCACCCCTGCCCCCCGCTTTGCTAGGCTTATTTCTAGGGTGTGTGTTTTGGGGGGAGAGAGGAGCTGGCTGAGGCCTCCCACTGTCTCCTGGCTGGGCGCGTGCCCTGGCCGAGCCTCCTCAGCGGCCTGTCCCTGTCTAGGCGATCCAGCACATCGAGGGCACCCAAGAAAAGCAGGAACTGGAGGAGGAACAGCGACGAGCCGTCATCGTGAAGCCTGTCCGCAGCTGTCCAGAGGCCCACACTTCTGACACCGCCTCCGACTCAGAGGCCTCTGACAGCGACGCCATGGACCAGAGCCGGGAAGAGCCATTGGGGGATGGGGAGTTTCCCTGACCACCCCCTAGCCCTCCTCTCCCCTCTGGGGGCTGGAGGGGCCAGGGCAGCAACGAAGAGATGTGGGTGAATGAGTGAGAAATTTTTACAAAATTACGATGTCATTTGGGTCTCTTTTATGACCTCTTTTTCAATACTGTAACTCAACCTTTGAACGAAGCCGCCCAACCCAAGGTCCCGGGGCTGGGGTGGCGCAGAGCGCGTGGGAGCATTGGGACCCCAGGGCTGGGCCTCGGCCCCGGGGCTGGGGGAAGCTGACACTGAGGTGCCTGGCCTCTCTCTGCCAAAAAGCATTTTTTTCCTTTTAACATGTTTTTTAAGAACAGGGAAAAATCAAAACCCCAAGGTATTTTCTTCCCTCCCCAGAGTCGGTCCTGCGACTCAGTCTTTGATCTCCCATCCCTCCTCTTTTGGTTTTCTTTTTCCTTTAAGCACTTACATGGGTTGGGGGTCAGGCTGGGCCGGGGCTTTCTGGGGGCCCGGGGGTCTACATTGCTTCTCGGTTGGGGTTTGCTGCTGCCCTTCTCCCCTCCCCCTCCCTGTCTCAGCCACTCTCCACCACCGCCCAGCCCCATCTCTCCCTCCTGGTTTGTCATCTTCCACCCCAAAAGTGTCTTTGTCTCTCTCTTTTTGTTTTGTTTGTTGTTGGTTTTTTTTTTGTTTTTTTTTTTACAAGTTTGAGGTCTTTGTGTTCAAGGAGAAGCTATTATATTTTGTTAAGAAAGTGGGGAAAAAAAACCAAGAGGCCACTGTGCCTTTGTAAAGAAACAAAATAAAGTTTGTACTTTGTTTTTTAGATTCTATGTCTCCTGAGTGTAGGTTATCCTGAGGACCTGGGCAAGGCTGCCCAGGCTAGACTGGGGGGCTCTTTGGGGACTGGATATGGGTCAGCACGATGACTCTGCTAACTTGTATGTGGTCTTTCGATGAGGAGTTAGGGTCCTTCTATCCCCTGGGATTATTCTGGGTTCTGCAAAGATGGGAGATAATGTAGGGGTTGGGGGGTGGCTCCCAGCTCCTCTTTGGAGAGAGGAGAGAATGAACAACAAAGTCACAGGTTCCTAAGGCCTGGTGAAAGAACATGGGTGTTCTGGGGTCCCAGCTGACCCCCAAGCCTTGCAACTTTCTTGACTTGTATAACCCCTCTGAACCTTAGTCCCCTCATTTATACAAAGAAAGGGAGCACCCGCCCTCCATAGTGTGGTGTTGAAGTGCTTAGGTTCTGGAGTTGGCCCACCAGCAGTCATTTCCATCTCCAACAAACCACTTCTGACCCTCAGTTTTCTCTTCTGAAAATTTGAGATAATAATGGCACAAGGGCATTATGGGGATGTTCCCTTAAGTCCCTTATTGCTCCCTGGCCAGAGATCGTTCTACCTGGTAGACCACTCAGCCTGCTGCACCTTGTGCTCACACACTGTGGCAGGTACCCGGGGACAGAGGCCAGAGCATCTCACATCTCGCCCCTCGATGCCTCTGGACATGAACTCGCAATAGAAAGACAAGAGCCTGCAGATGGTTGTTTTTCTGTCATATTTTTTTTTAAAGCAGAATTTATTGAGAGGACAGAAAAGCTCCCACAGTGGGAGGGTATCCTAAGGGGTTGCCCCTCTTGTATTTTTTATAGTTTTTAGGTGAAATTCACATTAAAGTTGCCATTTTACAGTGAACAACTCAATGACACTTAGAACTCAGTGTTACATGGCCTATTTAGTTCCAGAAGAGCTCCATCACTCCAAAATGAGCCCCTTGCCCATTAAGCAGTCCTTATTCTCCCTCTTCCTGGTCCCCACAACCACCAATCTGCTTTCTTGTTTTAACACTTAAAAAAAATTACATTTCGTAAAATAAGCACGTTTTTGTTTTTGGTTCTGCGGGCTTTGACTAACGCAGACAGTTCCGTAACCACCACTACAATCAAGATATCAATTAGTTCCCTCATCTCCAATATTCCCCCATACTCCCCCCCAACCTTTTTTTTTTGGTAAGAGAGGAGGTTTCCCTGTTTTGCCTAGGCTAAAGCGAGCCTCCCACCCCGGCCTTCTGAGTGCTGGAACTAGAGGTGCGTTCCACCATGCCCAGCCCCCCAACCTCCTGTGTGATCAACTTAGCCCCGGGTAACCACGGGTGTTTTCTCTTTGCTATAGTTTTACCTTTTACAGAATGTCATACAAATGGAATCATGCAGCCTTCTGAGTCTGGCTTCTTTCATTTAGCATTAGAACTAATTTTCTCTTTTTTTGAGTGTATTCAGTTAAACTTACATAGGATCTGGGCCTTTAAACTGACCCGGTTCTACCAGGGACGAAACGCCAGGCCCGACAGGCTCGGGGCAGCTCCCAAGAGCCTCAACAGAGAGCGCTGTGAGCCCAGAACGCCCAGCCCGGCGAAAGCGGAGGCTCCGCCTTCTTTCGGTCCCTGCGGGGACGGCTCAGTTCCCATAGGCCAGGGGCGGGGCTTGGGGGCGGGGCCAGGGAAATTCCTCTTCCCGCGAACTGCCGTCGCGCGCCCTGCGATGGAAGGCAGTCTCACTA